TATATATATATATATCTATATCAGTAGTTGAAAGGAGTTTGATCAATTTAGAGGAGGGCCTAACAACATATCAACAGTAGAAATTAAAATGTGGTGAGATATAAGCTTGGTCTGTACTAAAAGACTCCACTGCAGGTGCACAGAGGCAATAATAAGAGCTTCTATGGAACACCTTTCCACCAAAGAAATCTGAAAACCTTCAAATGGTTATTTTTATTTCCACATGTGTTGTGGTTAAGTGCCTGATCCACTCAATAGGTGCTCTTTGTAGACAGTCAGTCCCCTACAGTCAATGTGGAATCTTTAAAATTATTTCAGCTTACAGTAAGCTGGAAGTTATAAAGTGTAAATCTTTTTTCTTCTGTACATTGCAACACTTTGACCTCTGACCTGACTAGTCAATAAAGAATATGACTGGTTGTCATAGCACTGTTATAAGGGCGGAGCCAATATCACATGGTGCTTTGCCATGTGACTGCATTTTATAGATATTTTATATGCATCAAATTTATTATTAAAAAGTTTGTTTGTTACAAATGTTCCAACTGGTGCATATAAAGAAAATAAAGATGTATTGCTAAAGTGGTTATGTGTGCAGTGTTTTTTTTTTTTCTTTGTCAGAAGTAAAGAGACAATATGACAGTGTTGAATAGTTCAATAGCCAATAGAAGCCATGCAGAAAATCAATTTTACATTTTATATTTACGCTGCTCTTGTTAAAGGAGAACTATGGGGTCAGTGTTTTTCCCCATAGTTCTCCTTGGGGTAACGGAAGGACACAAACTAGCGTCCTCCCGTTACCCTAAGCTCAGTATACCGCAAACTACAGCTCGCGGTATACTGAGACGCCGCACCTGGAGCGGATCCCGACGTAGATGCGTGAGTGACAGCTGGCTCTGCCTATCTAGAGGCAGAGCCAGCTGTATCCGCCCCCTCCCCCGTCCGTTCCGCCAGTCAGCGCTGGCAGATCGGAGCGGGGAGAGGGGAATCCAGCCCCTCCCCCTGTCACGGCAGAGAACCGTGACAGGATCGAGAGGTGAGCGAACCCGGTATGTGTTCCCTCACCTCCCGATCTACTGAGCCGACCTGTGACAGTCTCATTGTCACAGGTCGGCTTAGAACTATGAGGTGAGTGGAAATCACTCATGTCATAGTTCTCCTTTAAGTGATCAGCAGTGAAAAGTCAATGGTTATTTTGCATCACGGAATTATGGCTGAATTCTGTATAGTTGGGAGTTTTCGACACTGCTCTGTGCAACTCAACTTTTCTTGATTCAAAAAAACGATCCCTTTTGGTTGATTAATGTGTGATTTGTTTTGCAGATTCCTACCTTTTCTATTTAGAAAAAGTTGTTTGTTTTCTCATGTCCTTTCCTGGCTGGGACAGTCTGCACTCCTTATACCCACGTGGTGAAATCTCAGTGTTCTGATGAAGAAAGCTGCAGTGTCTTCATCACTTTAGCATTTAAGCCTTAGGAAGAATCTCACTAAAAATTACACTCCTATTGCAGGGAATGCTTAAAAATTGACCTGTATGTTACTGCAAATGTCTGCGAAAATTAATGAGCCAACCACATAAGCAGGAAATGAAATGACCAACGGTGTACATCTCCACCTCGATCAATTTTTTCAATTGTTTTAGAAAATTGCAGCGACTGCAGATTGACATGAAAAGGTATTGTTTAATAACATGGAATTACAAAATGGCTTCGTGCTGCACTGTCCTTCCTTCTGGCGGGTGGCTACTTTTGTTCCTCATGGTCCCTGTGTGGGTTGTAAAGTAGCCACAGCTCCAAGCTCACTCTCCTGATAGACCACAATCTCACACAAATAAGATACAGTTTTGTTTATAGTTAAGGTACTTGAATGCATTTTTAAGATTTGACTCCTGAGCGTAGTGTCACTTTAACATGACTACCACAGAATTAATTTTGCTGTAACATACACTTGGACCCTAACAGACTCAGCTAAATCATATTCCCTAAAATTGCTAATAAAATCAAATGGGTGTATGTACAAACAAATTACAGAACCATTCATCCTGGAAAGCTGCATGTACATTTGTTCTGTGCAAAAAGGGCAAAAATGAATGTTAGTATAAATTCTTTCCAGGTCGAATATATTTAATTTATACCATTAAAGTGAAACAGGAAAATGCTGCATTACAGCCACTAGATGGAGCCCAGAATTATAGCAAATAAATAAGTCTTCCATCTAATGGCCATATTAGAGTATTTTACTAACCTGGAAAGAAAATATTCTAATAACGTTTGTTTTTGCCCCATTCACACAGAACAAATGTACATGCAGTTTCGCAGAATACATTACTTTGGACACCAGGGCCCTGAGAGGCCCCAGCAAGCGGCCCTCTAATATGCCTGAATACATGGCCGCAGGCAGTGACCGGCCGCATCCAAGCAGCGGCGGCCCTCTATCCAGGCATATTTAAAGGCCGTCCCTATTAAAAGGAGCGTCCCTATGTTAATTTGACACTGCGTTAATCCGGCCCTGCGCTCTGTACAGAGTGAAGGTTGATACACCCAGAGCTGTGGGAACAAGTGTGCAGCAGCTCTAGGGAGATGCAGAGCCTCTCTCCCATGGTGGGGTAGCATGGAGTACGGCCCCGAGTCCAGCATTGCGAGCTGCCGTTACGGCGCTAGTAGCAGAGATATCTGTTCGGGTGCAGCGAAGGGCTGACAAGGAGTCCATGCCCCACCCGAACCGTGCGGATCCACTCGGGGCCATAGATCCACGCCCACCGTACATTAAAGAAATTACTGCCACTCCTCCCCCCATGTACCACATGGATAGTGTGAACCCTGTAAGATAACAGCAGCACTAGGCATCATGGGGGTCGAGATCGGCGAGGACTCTCGGTCCGCCCGCCGCTGTGTGGGGTCAGGGGCCGTTGCCGACTGTTCATTAGGCCGCTTATGGGGAGTGTTACTCACTGTGGCGAGGCGGCCGGGCGCCATGTTGGATCAGGTCACCGGCTGCCCAGACATCGTTCCGTGGCCGAAATAGTGCCCTATGCCGCGGGTTGTAGCTGACGGTGAAGAGCTCCAAGGTCTGTGGCTGCTGGACATGCGGGGAGGGAGAGTTAAAAGTCTGCTAAATCCGTGTAGAAGAGGAGGCCGTGCAGAGCTCCGGAGTCACACGTCCTCACACTGCCATGTCTAGGCCACGCCCCCTCTGCAGCAGCTCTTTTAACCTTATTGCGGCCGGTCACTGACCCAGATACCGAGGCTGCACCCCGTCATCCTGGTGAGCCTGCACTGACTACGCAGAGCCCCTACTGACAGCCCAAAGCACCTACTGACTGCCCAGAGCCCCTACTGACCGCCCAGAGCCCCTACTGACTGCCCAGAGCCTGCACTGACACGGCTACAGCCCGCACTGACTGGTCAGAGCCCGCACTGACCGGCTAAAGCCCGCACAGACTGCTCACTGCCCAAAGCCTGCACTGACTGCCCAGAGCCCACACTGACCGCCACAGCTAGCACTGACTGCCCAAAGCCGGCACTGATCACCCGCAGCCCGCACAGAACGCCCACACTGACCCAAAGCGCAAAGTGACCTCCCAGAGCTCGCACTGACCACCCAAAGCCCACACTGACCACCCAGAGCCTGCACTGATCACCCAAAGTCCTCACTGACCACCGCACTGACCACCTAGAGCCCGCACTGACCACCCAGAGCCCGCACTGATCACCCAAAGTCCTCACTGACCACCGCACTGACCACCTAGAGCCCGCACTGACCACCCAGAGCCCGCACTGATCACCCAAAGTCCTCACTGACCACCGCACTGACCACCTAGAGCCCGCACTGACCACCCAGAGCCCGCACTGATCACCCAAAGTCCTCACTGACCACCGCACTGACCACCTAGAGCCCGCACTGACCACCCAGAGCCCGCACTGATCACCCAAAGTCCTCACTGACCACCGCACTGACCACCTAGAGCCCGCACTGACCACCCAGAGCCCGCACTGATCACCCAAAGTCCTCACTGACCACCGCACTGACCACCTAGAGCCCGCACTGACCACCCAGAGCCCGTACTGACCACAAGGAGCCCACACTGACCACTCAGAGCCCCCACTGACTACCAAGGAGCTGCACTGGCCCCCTTGGTGCCCACACTGGCCACCTTAGAGCCTGGAAAGCCTCCTGAGAGTCTGCACAGCCCCCCTGAAACCCTGCACAGCCCTCCTGAGACATCAGGCCGTGAGCCTGGAGCAACACAGAGTATTTAGCTTCATGGTATTCTGCATTGCTGTATAAAGCATGGCTGGGATTTGAAGTCCTCTATACCGGGTGCCATGCTACATTGCTTTATAATGTATTGCTGGTATTTGTAATCCTATATAGTTGGTGTTATTCTGCATTACTGTGTAATGCATTAATGGGATTTGCAGTCCTTATAGTTGGCAGTATTCTGCATTGCTGTGTAATTAATTGCTGAATTTGTAGTCCTCTACAGTTGGCAGTATTCTGCATTGCTGTATAATGTATTGCTGAGATTTGTAGTCTCTTTACAACTTGGAGTCAGTGGCAGATCTACCAGGTTCACAGCTGCAGCCGGGCCCTGGTGCTCCCCCACTGACTCCAAGGTGTAGAGTAGGGTTGCCACCTGTCCAGGATTCACCCGGGAAGTCCGGGTTTTAATTGCTGTGTTTGGGTTTCATGGCAGCAGAAACCCGGACACAAGATGTCAGGCAGACAGGAGCAACCAAAATTAAGATAGGGGCTACTGGCCCCCCCACTGAAAATAGTCTTAACTGTGATATTTACATATGAATGGGTGGGGCTATTTACATATAAATATTCCACGACTCAATCTCCCCAAAAAATGTCCGTGCGTCGCTGGAGTGTTCGGGTTTCGCTTGAAGAAAAGGTGGCAACCCTACTGTAGAGAGAAGAAAACAGGAATCACCAGCACTCAATAAGTAGTTTTCAAATAGTAAACGTCCATTTAATCGGACATAACGTCACAAACGAAAGAACCAACGTTTCGGGCTGCACAGGGTCCCTTCATCAGGGTGATAATGTGACAGATTATCACCCTGAAGAAGGGACCCTGTGCGGCCCCGAAACGTTGATTCTTTCGTTTGTGACTTTATGTGCGAATAAATGGATGTTTACTATTTGAAAACTCCTTATTGAGTGCTGGTGATTCCTGTTTTGTACTGTTGATGTGCACGGTGTCATCCGTGATTGTCACTGCGAGCACCATTATTACAATTTGGGCCGGGAACACTGTAAAGAGTGCAGGGGGACTCTTTATTCTCTACTGTAAAGAGACTACAAATCACAGATTGGACAGGAGGAAGAAGGTCCTGGTAACCGTTGACATTTCCATAAAAAGGCCCACCGAAATCATCAGCACCAGGCCTGTGATGCTCTTAATCCAGCCATGTATAAAGGAATGATTAAAACTTCTCTGTGGTTTTTACCGATGTCTGGGTCCTTGTTAGGGAAGTCCCCTTCATTTTCTGTGTGGTCACATGGACAGTAAATGAGGGGAAAGACACAAGGACAAAGTGGGAAAGGCATAGGCCCTCTGTCAATTTTGTATTGCTATCCATATCTGGATATCCATTCACTTCCTGTGAGTATGAAATTAAAATGGGCCCAGACAGTGAGAAGACATTAAACAAAGGTTCTAAAACTTCCTAGATCTATTAATAATGGTTTTTTTTTTTTTTATTATTCTGGTATGTGTCCCTAATGGAACAGGAAGTGATGGAAATTATCTTCTAGGAGCATATGCAACAAACACAACTTGTTCTAACATTTGCGCACTCCATCCTAAATCATAAGAGGAAAAAGTTCTTGATGGCATTTTACATTATTCATAATATCCAGCCCTTGGTACCACCCCAGCCCTCTTTTATATTACCACTGTGGGCAACAATTCTTTCATCTCCATTTACTTTTCTGTACTTCTAGTATAAATAGCCCTTTTTTAAATACACATTTTCAGTCTGTTATACTGCCAGTAAAGGTGGATAAACAGTGGGGAAGAGTTAGAATCAGTTTTTATTGTTGTTTCCCAAATTAAAAATAAAATAAATGTTAGAAGCTCTACCCATTCCTTACTCTAAAAACAAACAAAAAAAAAGCTTCAGCTATAAATAAACTTTAGGTTTACTACAAACAAAAATATAATCACAATATCGCTGGATCGAATAAAGAATAAAATTGTGTCTACTGAAATAGTTTTTACATTGCTTCTACTTCCCTTCCATGTGGTCAGAAACGTCAACAACAGGCTTGTGGATTTTGTGCTGTCTTACCAACCCTATGTCTGTGTACATAATAAAAGCTGGATGTTTACTGTAAATGTGGAAAAAAGGAAATGCTTTGTTGTTTTTATTTTTTTTTTAAAAGAATGTGCAGTGTTTAAGAAAAAAATTGACAACGTCCTTCAGTAATATAAACAAAACTCCGGGACATCAGAGCAGCCATCACTGGATCATTTTAGGAATTATGACCTGTCAAACAACAGGGTCTCCCAGTGTGTCAGGACACCAGTGTAGAAGCCTGCCCACACACATCAGCACTTTAAACTTCGTTCCCCCCTACTTATATGACATCTTCCTTTTTTGTCTTCCCTAAAACATCTGACGTTAACACAGGGGGCACCAGCTCTTCATTCTGCTGGAGCCAGAAGGAGGAATCTAACAGGAGAGATCCAAGATGGTGTCCTGTGTCACTTCCATTAGACCCCTGTTGGATACTAGACCTGTACCCATTGACACCCTGTTCTCCTCTGCAGAGGATGACAACACTGTTGTGAATTCATGTAAGGTTGGAGTAATCTGTTATGGATTCTCTGTCCCATGTGTTGATTTGCTGCTCCCTGACTACGGCAAGTATGATTGTATAGATCTGAGCCTGTGCTGATGGGGTCACTTAACAGAGCTTCTAAACCAAGTCTACTAAAAACGGTGTTTTATTGCGGTTTATGTCTCCCTGGAAACATGTCCCCTTATCTGCGCCACAATCACAGGGAGGAAATGCAGAATGTATCCAACAGAGATTTGGGGACATTGTCATATCATAATGTATCTCAGCTGCTTCTCTAGTCCTCCATGACAAGCTTTGACCTTCACACTAGTCTCCGCCCCTCGCAGCGAACGCATCCCCAGTACGCCCCGCCCCGGCTGTCAGCTGATGTGTGAGTGCAGAGTCACATGACACGCTGCAGCTCAGGAGCTCTGAGACCGGTTGTGTACAGTCAGGTGACAGCAGCTGAGTGAACATGGCGGGCGGTCTTGTACGGGGAAAGCTGATCGCTGTGATCGGGGATGAGGACACCTGTACCGGCTTCTTACTCGGGGGGATCGGTGAGCTGAACAAGAACAGGAAGCCAAATTTCCTGGTGGTGGAGAAGGAGACGAGTATAACAGAGATTGAGGAGACCTTCCGGTAAGATCCGGGGCTGAATGGGAGGGGGGCGCCTGTAGTATGATTCTGGCTGTCAGAACTGTGTATGGTGGAGAAGATTAGTGGATGATGTATGGAAGTAGACAGGTACTCCTGAGTCTGCGAGGGTCAGTGTGTGGCTAGGCATAATAAATCTGACCCCTGAGTGTGCATGGTGTGATGACTATCATTTACCAAAAGGAATGTCATGATTGCCCAGCTCACCCTATACCCACAAAAGGGGATGGAGACTTAACCCAGAAAACGTTTTCAGTGCTGATCAGAGTGACAGTTCAGCAAAATCTGACATTGTATAAGACTGAGAGCTCCCCCCTAATCGCTGTTTGCTAAAGAACAACTCCAGGCAGAATAAAAATTAACCCATGCAGGGGCGTCTACCCCCACAGTGCAAGGGTTAAGTGCTTGTTTTATTCTAAGGGCCCAGTTAAAGAAGACATTCTTGCCTGATCCTCGGTCCATTCTGGCTGTTAGACTGGTTATCGCAGCCTCCTCTTCCCCTGGCGCTCCAGTGGTTGAAGGACCCATGATGTTTTCACATCCATTCACTTGCACTGGACGTGAGGATGATGGGGACATTCCACAGCAAGAGTGGAGGGAGAGATAGGTGAGCGGTCACTGTGGCAGGAGTGAGGATTGGGTGAGTATATCTACTTTTTTTTTTTTTTTTTTGACCCTAGACCAAAACAAGCACTTAACCCATACAGTGTGGGTGTAGAATAATTTTTTTATTCTGCCCAAAGTTCTTGTTTAAAGCAAACCTGGAAATTTTGAGGAGGCCTCTAGGGATTTGTAACGTGGGTACTCCAGGAGGCTGCAGGAAGCTAAATATGTCATTCTCGCCTAGGCAAAAATCCACTTGCTCTGGGCAACCTTGCCTTTTATTCCTGTTTTCTTTGCTGCACCACAATTATATGCAAGCCCCTTGGAGAAGAGTTCACTTTATTATGCGTTTAGTTGATTGGTGATAATATATAAAAAATATTTTTACAATGATCATTGGATGTTCTATCATGGCCTTTGACAAATATGAGTTCTGTTTTTTTTTGTCTTTTCCATAAGGTCACATGTTCTGACCGCAGGCTTGCAGATTTTCCACTCTTTCTGTGTTTGTGTTCACAACAAAGGCTAAATGTTTACTGTAAATGTGCCGTGTCTGTGCTGGTAGTGGAAGTATCTGCAGAACTCTGGATTGTACTGCTTTTATCTGACCGCTTTTACACTCCTATTCTATCTATCTATCTATCTATCTATCCACACACCGATCAGCCATAGCATTATGACCACCCGCATATTGTGTATGTCCCCCTTTTGCCGCCAAAACAGACGTGACCCACGGAGACATGGACTCCGCTAGACCTCTGACGGTATGCTGTGGTATCTGGCGCCGAGCTGTCAGTAGCAGATCCTGTAAGTTATGAGGTGGGACCTCCCATGGATCAGACTTATTTTTCCAGCACATCCCACAGATGCTTGATTGGATTGAGATCTGGAGAATTTGGAGGCCAGGTCAACATTCCAAACTCCTTTTTGTGTTCCTCAAACCATTCTTGAACCATTTTTGCAGTGTGGCAGGGCACACTATCCTGCTGATAGAGGCCACTGCCATGACCGTTTCCATGAAGGGGTGTACTTGGACAGCAACAATGTTTAGGTAGGTGGTACGTGTCAAAGTAACATTCACATAAATGGCAGGGCCCAAGGTTTCCCAGCAGAACGTTGCCCAAAGCATCACACTGCCTCTGGCGGCTTGCCTTCTTCCCATAGTGCATCCTGGTGGCCATCTACATGATGTAAAAGAAAACATGATTCTTCAGACCAGGCCACCTTCTTCCATTGCTCCGTGGTCCAGCTCTGATGCTCACATGCTCATTGTAGGCACTTTTGGCGGTGGTCAGCGTAGGCACCTGACTGGTCTGCAGCTAAGCAGCCCCATGCGCAACAAAGTGCTAAGCACTGCGTGTTCAGACACCTTTCTATCGGAACCAGCATTAACTTTTTTAGCAATTTGAGCTACATTCGCTCTTCTATTGGATTGGACTACACATGACCCTGTCGCTGGTTCACTGGATTTCCTTTTTTGGACCACTCTTAGTAGGTTCTGACCACTGCAGACTGGGAACATCACACAAGAACTTCAGGTTTGAAATTGCTCTGACCCAGTCCTCTAGCCATCACAATTTGGCCCTTGTCATAGTCACTGGAATCCTTACGCTTGCCCATTTTTTCCTGCTTCCAACACCTCAACTTCAGGGACAAAATGTTCACTTGTTGCCTAATATATCCCACCCACTTCCAGGTGCCATTGTAACAATTAGAGGTGCACCGAAAGTGTGTTTTACTATATCCACAATCATGAATGCACAGGAGGTGATGTAGATCACTTCCAATTCATTCACAATTGAGGACACAGTAAACATAATGTCCTCAATTATTTACAAACACTCAGCGATCACTGAGTGTTTGTACCAGCTCTCCATCCTGACACGCTGTCACAGGAGGCTGAGCGAGCGGTGTGGGGAAGAGAGCTCGATCTGACAGCTGACTCCTCCCCTGCACCGCCGGCTGGGCTCCTGTGACAGCATTGACTGTCTCCGCCCACACGGCCTCTCTCCTGATCTGTGACAAGAGGCTGAGCGGTGCGGGAGGAGAGACGCCGGCCGCTCACAGCGCTCTGCCTCTTGTGACAGTTTCTCTCCTCTGCGCTGTGACACAGAGCAGCGCCTATTTCGGCAGAAAAATTGCACTTTCGGCATTTTACCAAAAGTGTCATTTTTGGCCAGTATGTTTCGGCGGCCAATATATCGGTGCATCCCTAGTAACAAGATATTTAATGTTATTCACTTCAACTCTCAGTGGTCAGAATGTTAGGGCTGATCGGTGTATATTTATATATAGATATTTTCACCCTACAGACACATACACAGATTATTGGAAGCTCAAATTATTGTTATTATTGTTTATTGTTAATTCTCTTGGTTCTCAGAAGCTCTGTTTTTAATTCCTGATTTAACTGTTCCTCTCTTGTCCAGGGGTTTTCTTCAGCGTGATGATATTGGAATTATACTGATCAATCAATTCATTGCTGAGATGATTCGTCATGCCATCGATGCCCACAATGTCTCCATTCCAGCCGTGCTTGAAATTCCGTCCAAGGAGCACCCGTATGATGCCAACAAGGACTCCATACTGCGGAGAGCTAAGGGCATGTTCACTGCGGAGGACTTGCGATAACTGTCATATGCTCAGCGTCTGGGAGCTTCCTGTTATGGGTGTTGTGTAACTATTTCACTTCCAGAACTGCGCTGTACGTCGGTGACATGTTAATAGTGGAAGCTGTCTGTGCTTGTTGTACACTTTTGTTGCCCATGTAATTTTTTTTTGTCCATATAATTTATCTTAAGAGCCTTAGCTGTATTATTAAACTGATGATATTCTTTATGTGTAAATAATGCCTCCAATATGGGACCTGTGATCAGGTGTGACAGAATCATGGAAAATTATTTGATGTACAGGACATGTACATAGCACATCAGATATCGAGCACATGCACACAGGCACAAATACAGGTGTATAGACAGAGAATGTAAAATTTGTATGTACTTGCAGCACCCGGGAGCCCCAGCTGCTGCCTTTTTCTGTCCATAGGAATGTATGGACAGAAGATGTGGTAGTGGCGTTTGCATGCACATTCAGGAACTAACACCCGTGGGTGTGTAAACATCGATACTGGTATCGACCCTGGGGCTTCTGGGTGACGCAAATACAGGTTCATTTTACTCTGTAGGCCTGTATTTGTGCCCTGTGCATGAGCGCTTATAATGCTCAGCAATGACTCTGCTGTAGGGAGTGTTTTAAAACATATCTTGTGCTCCTTTTACCTTCATATGTCTTAGTTTTTGGAACACATTTCTGTGGTGCCCATTGTAAGCAGTTACATTGATTTTCTGATTTTAGGCAGCAAAGATATTTGTTTCTTTAACGCCTGTGCCAGTTCAGCCCTCTGCTGTTCCCTATGTGGCAGCTGATCCTGCCTGCGCATTGTGTGGGACAGCTCTCGTGTACTTTTTTCTCGTGGACAAGGTGTTGTGACCTTGGAAACATGTAATTCATCTGTAAACATTCATTTTAACCGAGCCTGTTCATATCATTGTTGTATTGCATTTTTTTTTATCATGTGTTAACCACTTGCCAGCTAGCTAACATATATGTGGCAGCAATACAATGGGTTTTAATGCCCAGCTACCAAATATATTGTGTGCACTATTGTGTGCTAGTGGTGTGCTCAATGCACGCTCCCAGCACAGTGACTGAGCTGTCACAGAGACCTCCCAGTCACTGTTTATGATTTGAAACTGGAGATGGGCTCCTGATTTTGAAATTGCTGTGACTGTCCACTACAATCCATATATCCATTGCACTCCTGACAGCTTATCCATAATAAGAATAGTTGGGTGCATCGGCAGTCGACAGATGGCTACCATCCAGTAGTACAGAAAAATATGGACACCGGCACTCCAAAGGTAGAAGTACGTCCATTTATTGACGCACGTGCAAAGCATGCTCATTGCGACGTTTCGGGGTCACGCAGAATCCCCTTCATCAGGCAGAACGTCGCAATGAGCATGTTTCTCACGTGCGTCAATAAATAGACGTACTTCTACCTTGGGAGTGCCAGTGTCCATACTTTTTTGTGCTGTGACTGTCTGTTACAGAGATCTTATGACCTGAGAACCCCTACTTGTCATTAAGGTACTTTTTAAATAGAAGATGGCAAGGAGTTCAAAGGCCCACTGACATGGACAACCAAAGCTCTTGTTTTTAGTGTCTGCCCTGTGAAAACTCTCTGTTCCTGTATGTTCTTCCTACTTTGCACAATGCAAACACACAAATGCCGCATTATAATGCATTACTGCATGCTCATAGATGTGAAAGGACCTTAAAATATATTTAAAGCCAAACTTTTTGGGGCTAGATTTGTGATTTCTTTTCTTTCTTTCCCATCTGTGTTCCGTTGGGGAGAGTTACCTTCACTGCTTGTCTTGGTCTCAAAATAAAGGAAATCCCCTCTTTAGACTGTTGTCACTGGAGCTAGCTCCCCCATTGGAAGATTTCTCTCTATTTTTGTTCTTGTGAGAACTAGAAATTCTGGATTTTTCCCTCACTTTCAGTCCTGGTGATAATGGTCACCAAGACATGGAGCGTGTGAATCTCCCCATTAGGGGCAAAGTCCCGTGTGGGGGAGGGTTCTAGTCATACCCAACTCTGGCCGAATCTAAAAGAAGAAAATGCACTATAGATCTGGATGAATACTCCTCATTTGGCCTTCATTTGTGAGATTTGGAGCATATGAGAAGCCTGAAAGCTGTGTGCTGTAATATATTGGTTTTAAAGATCTTTTTGCTAGGTCTGTTAAGGGCTGTTAAGTTATTATTGATAATATATTAATAGTTCTAAATTTATGGACAGCTTTTTGTCATGGTAACTGTAGTTCATTTTCATCAGCTTGCCCTAAATAATTTGATCCATCGTTGTTTGCTAACTTATGAATATGTTGGATGAATTGTTTTAATAAATACCCTAACAGTGGAAATAAATGTTTGATTTTGAACTGTATAGGACAGGTTTATTTTTACCACTTGTGATGTTCACTCAAAACAGATTATGTTCCAAAACAAATCACTGCTTTAGTGGCACATTAATAGTTTTTATGTATACATTTTGGGCTCATTCAATATGGAAGTATACAGTACATATAACTAAATCAAGAGTGCTTTTACTGAAAATGTGCAAGTATGCATTACATATTTCTATATAATATTAGCACATTATGGTGGTGCCTGCCAAATCACTCCCCTCCAGCACTGCGGCTGGGTTCACACCTGGGCGTTTTTCAGCGCTGATCGAATCGCCAAAATCAAAGCTGTAACCCCGAGCCACACTCGGGAATACAGCGTAGGTCTTACCTTGTCCGCGATCCCCGCTGTGTCCTCCGGCCGCTGCCGTCTTCTGTCCCTTGCGAGCGTCCGCGTCGCAGGGGGGTGGAAAGATTGAAAGTTAAAAAAAAACCCAGAAAAAAGATAGAGAAAATAAAGGAAAAAAAAAGAAATCATACTGCCAGGGAGGTATAAAAATGAGCGTCGAACGCGCGTTTCACTGAACCAAAAAAATTAGCAGAAAAAATACGCCTATAGTACGCCCAGGTGTGAACCCAGCCTGCTATATCCAGGTTCTGCTCCATCACCAGCGTTTTCATCTTCTCCATGATCTTCTTCTGGGTTTCGGCCGCTTAAATGGCCAGGCCCTAATTATGTAAATCCTGCACATGCACACGGGAGTTACTGTATCTCAGCAAGAATCTTGCCGAGCCTGTGCACTGAGCTGTGCACAACGGGGAAAAAAATTAAAATTGCTGACTTGTAGAAGATTCTATGGCAGAAGAGACGTACAAGGCCTGCCTGCCACCATTTAAAATTAAAAAAAGACCACTTCCACTTTAAGGTAACTTCTAGATGATTTCCTATTTTAAGTAACTCATAGCAGCCAGCATCCACTTTAACTGATCTCTGTCTGCAGTAAAGTGCTATATGGTTATTATAGGGGGCTCTTGGTGGATTTGCAATGTAAACATTGTATGACCCCAGTGGACAACGGGAAGGAGGGGGGGTGCAATTTAAGGATGACAGTCCTAAAAATACAGACCGGTCCTCTCTACCTAAAAGTCAGAGACCTTTTCTGTTTTAGTTCTGTTAAAAAGACTTGTCCACATTCGTATTGCTTGTCTTGTTTGCAGCCTGTGCTCCCAAGTTCTATTCTTATAGCTCTTGTACCATAAATGCTGCATTGGAACTGTGGGTGGCTACTGCTGACTTTGGGAACTAGATCTATTCTGACTACATATAAGTAGCAGATAAACCTGTTAATTTCATATCATCTATAGCCAATCTAAAAAGTCACACCAGGTTAGATTGTTTCTTCCAGCGGTGACATCCTTTTTCATGGCTCTTACCTTTTGTGGGGCTTGTTCTGCCTGAGGTAGGGGATCATGCGTGAGCCCAAAACATTGCAATTGTGTGATGTCACATCATCAATAAAGACATGTTATATCTGCAGTTGGAGTGCCAGTATGCAAATGGATTCCTTGCTAAATCCAACAACTAGATGAATTGGTTGTCATTAAAGGAGAACTATGAGGTGAGTGCTTTTCATTCACCTCATAGTTCTAGCCGACCTGTGACAATGAGACTGTCACAGGTCGGCTCAGTAGATCGGGAGGTGAGCGAACACATACTGGCGTTCGCTCACTTCTCGATCCTGTCATGGCTCTCTGCCGTGACAGGGGAGGGGCTGGATTCCCCCCTGCCCGCTCCGATCCGCGGAACGGACAGGGGAGGGGGCGGGTACAGCTGGCTCTGCCTCTAGATAGGCAGAGCCAGCTGTCACTCATGCAGCTGGGCGGATCTCGACATCGATGTCTGGATCCGCTCCGGCGTCTCAGTATACCGCGAGCTGTAGCTCGCGGTATACTGAGCTGAGGGTGACGGGAGGACGCTAATTTGTGTCCTCCCGTTACCCTAAGGAGAACTATGGGGAAAACCCCTGACCCCATAGTTCTCCTTTTTAAGTCTTGACCAAACCTGAACATTTTACTGCCCGCAGGAAGAATCTGGTCTTTGGTCTGTGGCGGTCTGGCCTGCAGACCTGCACCCTGTTACAGGTGGCTGACAGTGGATGCACTGGCCTCCAAGGCCAGTACATCTGTTGCAAGCCATAGCCCAGCGCTGATCAGCAATTGGACAGTGTTTCAATTCAGTTATTGGTTGCTCGGACCACTGGCCCCTTAACAAAATTAATTGGCCACCCCTTGACTCTTATCTGAGGAGGAAATGGAAGAGAGTTATGTGAATTTTAGTATCTCTAGGATGTGTTTTTGTAAGGCACCTGGTTGCAAGGACAGGGAAATGGATCACAGCTGCGGACTCGGTAAGTGGATTGGAAGCTGGGTATGGCAATCGGGCTTGAACCCCAGGCGTCTCTCTCAATCTCAACGGAGAGTGAGGGGTTCTTGCATCATTTGCCACAATTGTATAAGGAAGGTATAGACTTTGTATTGGTTATTTAACTCCTAACTAACAGATCCGTGTACTCAGAGTTAGGTACAATGCGTGGTTAACAGTCTTAATCCAGGTGGTGATATAGGCACAAGTGATATCAACATTTAAACAAGCCAGCAATTCTTTCCTACAAACAGTATTGGATCCTTTGATAGGGAGTGTGGAATATGAGACAGTTGTGACATGCAAAGAACCAATTCCCCATCTAGTTCCAATACTTGCGGTTTCAGGTGCAGACAGGTGTGAGGTAGTTTGAGGTCCCAAGAGTCTCTGTA